TTCTTCTTCTTCTTCTTCTTCTTCTTCTTCTTCTTCTTCTTCTTCTTCTTCTTCTTCTTCTTCTTCTTCTTCTTCTTCTTCTTCTTCTTCTTCAATTGTTTGGATTTTGTATGAAACTGCAAACGAAAAATAAAATACACGAAATGTCTCTCTTGCAGTCCCGAACACCTGCCTTAGTCTTTGAACATGTTAACAACACAGACTTCAAGGTAGGAACACACTATGATTTTTATTCTGTCGCGCATTTTATTGTAATATATTTCACCCTCCTTTCTTGGCATACTCGTTGTTTTACCATACACGTGTGTGTATGTGATGGAGGAATAGGATAGTCCAGTGCTATGTCTTCGGTGCCAGAAAGTCAACAGTCTTCTGGTTCTATCCTCAATCACTGGCACAGTGCTCCTTCTGTGTGACACATGGGTGCTGTCATTTAGCTGTAGGACTTTACCATTAAAAGGCTAATGATTTTATTTTTGGTATTCAGCAACTATACCAGACCCTGACGGACTATGATATTCGATTCTACATGTATGAGATCCTCAAGGTGAGTCCTCCAGCTCACTCTATGATGTGTCAAACTCAGAACGTTGTGATACATGTTTAGATGAAGACCTTTCACAAGACACTAATTCCCTGGAAAATGTTCTTTGACTGTGTTTTTCTTTGGCTTTTTATACTTGAATTCATTTTGTTATCAGCATTTTCCTGAAGGGAGAATCAACTAATTATCTCTAGCTCTTTTGGAAATCCTGGGAAGAAAAACTTAAACAGTATTTAACAAAGTCCCTTTGGTATTGTTTGTAGGCTCTGGATTACTGCCATAGCATGGGAATAATGCACAGAGATGTGAAGCCACATAATGTGATGATAGATCATGAGCACCGTAAGGTGGGTGAGAGATAATGTTGCTTCTGCAATGTAACAACATGATAAAGTTCATTGTCATTGCTGTTGTGCTTTTCTGTTTGCCTCTCTGTGTGGATTCCTATTCTTCACAGTCCCTCTACTGCATTCACAGGTTGAAGCACAATATTTTAATTTCCACTTACTTTACTTGTACTTAGTACGTACCCTGGTTCTGAGTGCTAATCGCTTAATTTCTTTGTAGCTGCGTCTTATTGACTGGGGTCTGGCTGAGTTTTACCATCCAGGACAGGAGTACAATGTCAGAGTTGCATCTCGCTACTTTAAAGGACCCGAACTTTTGGTGGACTATCAGGTATGGCAGTGAGGTAGTAGCGTGTGCTTTAGCGCTTTTCTGGAGTGCAGTTGGAGGTCTTTGTACTGTGGTTACTGAATTTTGAGTCTTTGTCAGTCACTGAATGAACCTGTTGTGTCCAAAATTACAGTCTTGTTCCTTTTGCTAGGCTGTATATTAAGTCAAATCAGTTTAGTTTTATTTATATAGTGCCAAATCATATCAAGTCACCTCAAGGTGCTTTATATTGTAAGGTAAATAAATAGACTTTGTAACAGATTTCAGCGAGTAGTGTTTCAGTCATCTTCTCTCATCTTTCCTCATCATTGGCTCTTCCACTGTATTCTGTATTCAGATGTATGACTACAGCCTCGATATGTGGAGCTTGGGCTGTATGCTGGCATCCATGATCTTCAGAAAGGAACCTTTCTTTCATGGTCATGACAATTATGACCAGGTGAATAAATCTAAGCTATTATTGTGTTTCCCTTTTTACTTTCTTTAAAATGGTTTTTTGCCGTTTGTCTGTACTTGTTAATTTTAAAGATGATGAGTTTTATAACGCACATAAAGTATACACAGAATATTTATTTTGGCTGTTGATGTTTTCTGTCCTTCAAACTAGTCAACTACTGTAGTTTCTTTTTCTTTTTTTTCTTTTTTTTAAACGACTATTAAATTAATTCCCAGCAGGATTTATAGATATTACCGTGAGCTTTGTTTAATAGGGTTTTGATCTACTAAGTGTCTAGATGTTTTCTGTAAACAGCTGGGAAATAGATTTTATTATAGTGCATGTGTGTGATTGATGATTTCTAAATGACTGTTGAATGTTCTCTTGCAGTTGGTGAGAATAGCCAAGGTGCTGGGGACAGAAGACCTCTACGACTACATAGACAAATACAACATTGAGCTGGAACCTCGCTTCAATGACATTCTTGGCAGGTACTAGGTTCAGCTGAATTATTGTTAGCAAATACACCTGCGGCGGGGGGGGGGGGGGGGGTCATGTTGTCAGGTAAATCTAAGATGGGTCAAATTGGAATTTCTTCATGGTTTGTGATATTCCAGTAAGAAACAAACACAACCAAACTCCACAAAGACTGAACTCATTTAAATATCTACAAGAGAACAGAGCAATACAAAGAATCAATGTGAATAAAATTGTATTTATGTTACACATTTTAAGTTAAATATCACAGTTCAAAAGAAGAGTTTTAGCTGCTGGGTGACTGATGATCCACTGAGTATATCTTCTCCACTCCCATCTTATTACTCATTCATGTGTGTATACCCATTTTGGTGGCCACAAAACGTTACAGAAATTTGTAATGGGATAATCTAAAGCATGGGTGTCAAACTCTGGCCCGTGGGCCATTTTTCAGCAAAACTTGTTTGAGTCAATAAGAAAAGATTGATTCTTATATCTGGAGGAAGATTTTTTTTTCAATAAATATTAATGTTAGCCCGCGACTTTGTTCCAGTTTTGAATTTTGGCCCACTGTGATCTAAAGTGTTCACTGTTTTGTAAACGAATACAAACACAAGGCACTAATCCCCCCCCCCCCCAAAATAGGCATTCTCGTAAGCGGTGGGAGCGATTTGTCCATAGTGAGAACCAGCACCTGGTCAGCCCTGAGGCTCTGGATTTCCTAGACAAACTGCTGCGCTACGACCACCAGGCCAGACTCACTGCCCGCGAGGCCATGGATCACCCATACTTCTGTAAGCCCTCACCATCACCTCTGTGTCTATCTATGGTTATTTATTTTTTTCTGCTAACAATAAAATGAAGGTTGCCATGACAAGAAGTAATTTATTTATTGTTTCTACAGTCCCTATTGGGAAAGATCAGTCTCGTGTGACCGGATCAGCCAACCTACCCAGTGGGAACCCTGCTGTTAGCACAGCAAACATGATAACTGGTGAGAACGCGCACTTATACTGATAGTATACTGGCCTACAATTTAAATCCCCATGCCTTTTAATCCATCCAAGTTTCTCTTTAAAAAAACAAAACTTATGGGTTTGTGCATCCTTGTGCTTTAGGTTTACATTTTCCTCAACTAATATGGCAGAGTTATTATGCATTAGCTTCATTAAGATGCATGTCAAAAATCTGGATGTCCTACAGTACAACAGTTTACTGTCATGTAATGGGGCGGTCGTGGCTCAAAGAGTTGGCAGTTCGTCTTGTAACTGGAAGGTTGCCGGTTCGAGCCCCAGCTCGGACAGTCTCGGTCTGTCGTTGTGTCCTTGGGCGAGACACTTCACCTACCGCCTACTGGTAATGGCCAGAGGGGCCGATGGCGCGATATGGCAGCCTCGCTTCTGTCAGTCTGCCCCAGGGCAGCTGTGGCTACAACTGTAGCTGCCTCCACCAGTGTGTGAATGTGAGAGTGAATGAATAGTGGAATTGAAAAGCGCTTTGAGGGCCCCAAAAAGTGCTATATAAATGCAATCCATTATTATTATTATTATTATTATTATTATTATTATTAAAAAGGGAGGTGTGTACCTGGGACGACCATATTAAGGATATCCACTGTTGTCCTAAAGTAAAAATTTACTTCAGATTCGTAATATTACTTCCTGGTTTACCTTTGGTCACACACAGTGTGATTGCATTAAATTATGGATTTATTTCTTCTTGTACAGAACCAATAGTTCAAATCCTTGGAATTGATAAAGCTGCCTGCTTTGCTTACTGGTTTCACTTGCAGTTGGGCAGTTTGTGTGCTGGAGGAGGAAACTAGTAGTGCAGTCTACAGCATAGATATGGGCATCACTTTTATTTCTTTTGCAAAGGATCAGAGTGCAGTGGTAAATTTTAAATTGTTTCCAGGAAAGAAACAACTACATTATCCCATTAACACAACTGCGACTCTTTTTAAGCAGCTGCACACGCAGCATGCTAGCCACAGCTAGTCAAGAACCCAAAGCTGAGTGAATGCTGACCCCAGCCCAGCAGCCAGACCCTGAACTTCAGCAAAGTGATGAGCAGTCAGGCTGCAGCTTCTGTATCATATGTCTAAAGTAGAATTACTGTGGGCTGGGTTTTAATCTTTGCTTTGTGCTGTTGGCTTTATGTTCACACATAAATACTAAGAGAAATATCATCTCTGTCTTATTAGGATAGGGATTTGTGTTGCTGTGTGCGACTGTAACCCATAGGTTTATATTGTTAAAAGGTAATTATGAGATAATACATTTCATGTTATTTTACAGAAAAAAACCCTTTCTCCTGGGAGTAAGAACTGTACTGCAGAACTGTTCTGTGTAATGTGTAATACATTACTTTTTTAAAATAATGACCCCAAAGCTGATACCTCCAACATGCAACACATTTGGCCACACAGCATGCAGTTAATTTGCACAAATGTCTTTGGCTACGTTCACACTGCAGGCGAAAGCGCATCATATCCGACTTTTTTGACCCTATGCGACTCGTATCCGATCATGGTGTGACAGTGTGAACGGCACAAATCCAATATTTTTAAATCCGACCTGGGTCACTCTCATATGTGGTCCTGAATCCGATACATATCTGATGTTTTAGAAAGCGACTGCTGTTTGAACGGTCATGTCGCATTAAATCCGTCTTTTACGTCACTGACACAAGACAGACGCCAATTATCAGCGCCGGAGAAGACATCGTGAACGCTTCCTGGTCATCCAGTGTAGAGGTCAGTGAAACTGTTTGGAAGACAACGTTGGAGAAACGTGAACATTTTATTTGTCCTGTATAATCTGCAGATTCTGACAGAAATCTGCAACTATCCTTTGAAACACCGCTCCTCTAAAACAGCAGTAAGGATCATTATTAGGCCAAATGTAAATAACAAAATAACTTTATAACTTAAAGCAAAATTGGGAAACGTAAAGTCCGAAGTCTTCATATTAAGGGCCATCAGTCAAACATACTGTTTGCTCTGGGTCTAAACTGAGCGCGTTGTGCGTGACGTTTTCTTTTGCGCATGCCGGCGCTTTGAGCGTTCACACTAGAGCGCGTTTGCTGTTGCATTTTATTTGTAGTGTGAACAAGCAGACAAAAGAAATCGGATTTGATCAAAAAATCGGAATTGAGCTTTAAGACCTGCAGTGTGAACGTAGCCTTTGATATGCAATGCGATGGTGGTGACTCTTCAAGCGGGTCAATGAGCACACAATCAGAATCGATAATGGAATTGGTTAATTCTTATCGATTCCCATGCGAATTTTAAACTGTTGAAAAATTTCTGTCAGCTCTGAGGTAGAAATGCTAATATTCAGAGTGCTCGACTGTCCTGATGGTCTCGTCTGGCTTCTCTCTCTCAGGTATCTCTGCCTTGCCAGCCTCTACTGCCCTGGGGCCTCTCACTGGCTCACCTGTCCTATCTGCTGCCACCAATGCCCTGAGCACCCCGGTGCCCGCTGCTGCTGGCGCCCCACAGTGACACCCTCACCCAGATTCACACTAAAAACACCCCCACCCCTCCCTGTGTTATCAATCTCCCACTTTCACCACCACCCAGTCAGGATGGGGGAGGGGTGTCTTAGCAGTTCTCTGCCAGCCGTCACCATATCCAACTTAACTCGGTGTGACTACGCTTCAGCAGCTGGAGGCAGCAGTTATTTTACAAAAAAGAGCTGTTTTCCCTCCTGTGAATGAGAGTGTTAACATGACATATGAAATGAATGTTGTTTATCTGGTATTTTTTTCATTTTGCCCCCAAGTATGTTTTGGGTGGTGAGACTAAGCAATGGTCATTCCTCCCCACTGTGTGTTTTAGTTTGGCGAGAGAAGGCACTGGTCAATAAGAATATCAGCTGAAGGTAAAGGGAGATGCTGGCTGTCAGGACCAAGAGGATATATATAGTTTACTACTGAGCAGCGTCAAACACACAACCTAATGAGAACACTCATCTGACCTCCCCAGGAGAGTTGAAACACCCTCCAGATCACAGTATTTTGGTGCTGTTCTGTACCCCAGGTGTATGTAAACACAATGACACTTCAACACTTTCTCTGCCCGAGTAGCTTTGTCTTGCCTTTCTTACCAAACAAGATCACTCGACTTCTTTTGCTATGTGACTCCCTGTCACGTCATCCTCCTTTGTTTTGTTTTTTATTTTCTCTAATCCAAAACATTGTGGACTGCTGGATAAAAGTTCTCTACCATCAAGGTGTCTGTTCGACTCAAGTGTTGTTGTGCGATCTTTTAAGAAGCCAGGTAAGGGTCATTCAGGTTCTCAAAGAAATGGTTTCTCTAAATGTGCTGCTTTCCAGTTCCTTGAAATACTTCAAGATCTAACCAAAGTTTACTCAAGTTGTTTGGAAGAAGAGGCTGACCAATTGCTTTTTTTTCCTTCCCCTCCAGTGGGAAGCTAGTAGGAGTTGCTCACAGAGTGGACAGTGTGATATGTGTAGTGAATGAAATGAAAACATAGGACATTGTCATTTGCTGGTAGGGCTGTCACAATACCAACAAAATGAAGTACAGTGATGTATATCTTCTTTTTTTCTTTTTCTTTTTTTGGAACACCTTTGTGCTTTAAAGCCACATGCGAGGATTTGTATTTGTGTAATCACGTCACAATCAGAGGAGGAACATTGTTGGCCCTCTATGTTCCTCTGCTGAACTTTTTATGGAGCTGAAGAACAAGATGAGGGGCTGTCATCAACTCTCTTCACGTGCCTCTCCACAAATGAAACGGAATTGAGATGCAAGTGCAACCAGAAATGAAAGCAAAATGGGATAGACTCCCATTTATTTGAAAAGGAGTGTGCTTAAATGAGGGAAATGCACCCCTTAAAATCCAAAGTAAAGTAAATTAAGATTAATGTTGCATTGCGTAGGGCAGGTATAATTCTTTCACTGAGACAGCCCTACCTGCTGGTGACTGTTAGAGAAAAGTTCACCTCTCATGTACAGTGAGTGACATTTTTGAAGAGTCATGCAGTTTGTTGGCTTTCACCAACACGTTGAGGGAAGCAGTGGAGTATAATAGCATTTGAAAGATGGTTTCCCGTAATGTTTTAGTGCCAGAGTTTGGAAGTGCAAGTTTTAGATCCTGCTGTACATACGCCTTTTTTCCATTTCAAAACCTGAAAATGCAAATAAATCAAAACATGTATACATTGACCCGACAATGGAGCAGTTTAAATCCCTACATCACTGTATATATTTTTCTGTCCTTATGTAGAAGACTAGTATTTGAGAATATTTGTGTAAATAAACATGTGTTTTATTTATCAGGTAAATCTGTCTGATTCATGTCTGTCATGATTACACAGACTTGGGCTGCTACAAATGCAACATCTGGATGTCTTGCCACAAATGCTCTAAATTAAGAGTTTAAGAAAGATGCACTGATGCTAAATGAACACTGAAAATATAAATATGGAAAAGAAATATTTGTGTATCCCAAAGTGCAACTTCAGTTTTGAAAGGTGTTGCCATCTCGAGTTCAGTGTGTACAACTCTGTCCTACAGCAACAATGACTAGGATGCCGTTTCTACTAGTGGTTAAAATCTACTACCTCTCTGTGCAAAAACAAATCTTTCATCTAATTAGAAATCCCAGTCTTCAATTAATTCAATACAAAATATTACATAGAGT